GGTGAGGCTGAGAGAGCTGTGACAGAACTGCCTGTGAGAGAACAGCTCTGAGAGAAATTGTGACTGACCCAGGGTCACACCAGCAGCTGTATGTGGAGGAGAGGAAGAGATTGGATTTATGCCTTGCCCTTCACTACCTGAAGAAGTCTCAGAGCGGCTTACAAACTCTTTTCCCTTCCTCTCCCTACAACAGACATTCTGTGAGGTAGGTGGGACTGAGAGAGCTCTTTCGAGAACTGCTCTTGAAAGAACAGCTCTGAGAGAACTGTGACTGACCCTAGGTCACACCAGCAGCTGCACGTGGAGGAGGAGATTGGATTTATACCCTGCCCTTCACTACCTGAAGGAGTCTCAGAGCGGCTTACAATCTCCTCTCCCTTCCCCTCCCCACAACAGACACCCTGCGAGGCCAATGGGGCTGAGAGAGCTCTTTCGAGGACTGCTGTTGAGAGAACAGCTCCAAGAGAGCTTGTGAGTGACCCAAGGTCGCACCAGCAGCTGCATGTGGAGGAGTGGGGAATCCAGCCTGCCTTGGTGGGGAGGGCAGGGTATAAATCGAACAAATGAATAAATAAATAAACCCGGTTCTCCCAGATTGGAGTCCATGCTCCTAACCACTACACCAAACTGGCTCTCTGAATCTTAAACTGAATTTTAATGTCTTTGTATATTTTTTGGCATTATGCCTTGTATATCACCCAGAGCTCGGTGCAAGCTGGGATAGGGTGATATAATCATCATCATCTGCATGGCAACGGATACTGGGGGAATGGGCAGACGAAAGGCGAAGCAGATCTAACCGAGCAAAGACAAGCAATGCGAGGCCAACAAGCCTGGGGAAGAGAAGGCTTAGAGGGGACACGATTGCAGTCTTCAAGTATCTGAAGGGCTGTCGTGTAGAAGACGGAGCAGATCTATTCTCTCTTGCTCTGGATTGCAAGGCTAGATCGAATGGGTGGGAATGACAAGGGAGTCGATACCCGTGGAACAGTCTGCCTCGGGAGGTGGTGGAGGCTCCTTCGCTGGACGTTTCCAAGCGGAGGCTAGACGACCATCTCTCGGGGATGTTGTAGACAATGCTCCCTCTAAGCTGTGGAGTCTTGTGAGCAAAAACTCTACTTTGTGAGCGACTGGCATTAAAGTTGTGAGCAAGCGATCTGGCTGCTGCATAAATTAGTTTGCTCTGGAGCCCTCCTTCCTGAGCGAAGACAAAAATGTGTGAGCCGGAGGCTAAAAAATTGTGAGTTGGCTCACACTAACTCAGCTTAGAGGGAACACTGGTTGTAGGTCTGTAGGGCTGTCTTTCGGCTGTGCTCCTGCAGAGTGCGGGGGGTTGGACTAGATGGCCTGCAAGGTCCCTTCGAACTCTAACATTCTATGATTCTATGATAAAGTACATAGACAAGCAACAGTCCTGAGGCACGTCAATAATGCAGGGGAGGCCGGTATAAACAGGTCCCCCGCTGCCTAAGCCATAGGCCTGGCCAGGGCTTTTTTTGTAGAAAAAGCCCAGCAGGAACTCATTAGCATAATAGGCCCCACCCAAAAGCAGAAACATTAGCATATTAGGCCACACACCCATGTTACCAGAAGGGTGCTCAACCAGCCACACCCACCTTTTGCTTCTTATTCTGTTTACCTTGCTTGTTGTCAAAACCCAGGGCTTTTTTTGTAGCAGGAACTCCTTTGCATGTTAGGCCACACACCCCTAATGTAGCCAATCCTAATGAGTTTCTAATGTTGGGTGTAGCCTATTATGCTAATGAGTCCCTGCTGGGCGTGGCCAACTTGGAAGCCAGACGGAACTCCGTTCCTGTGCGTTCCGGCCCAAAAATAGCCCTGGGCCTGGCGGAACGTCTCCGCTTTGCAGGCCCTGCGGAATGGCACCAAGTCCTGCAGGACCCCGATCTCAGGAGGGAGGGTGTTCCGCCAGGCCAGCGCTGGAGCGGAGAGGTCACCGGCTCCAGTTGAAGCGGACGGAGCACCTTAGAGACCAGCCAGATTTCCAGACGAGGAACGCGGGGATATTTTCAGACTGGTTTTGTTCCATTTGTGCATTCTGCACATGCTCAAGGACCATCCCATCAGGCGGAGGGAGCCTTGCCTCTGGAAAGCTTCTGCCCTGGAAATCTGGTGGGTCTCTTCGGTGCTGCGGGACTCGCACCTTCTTCTCTAACTGTGAGGGACTAAGAAAAGGTGAGCTCAATGGGAGGGGTAAGCCACAAGATTGCTGCGAAGCTTCTTGCTCCGGAGACAGTCTACCTGGAGCTCCAAGAAGTTTCCCAGAAGCCTCTCTGGCTAGCCACTGTTGGAAACAGAGGGAAAGCTTGGTGTTGCTCGGCCAGAACAACGCCATTCTGGACTAGAAACGTCTGGCCAGATGCTCCAGGGCATGTGCAAGAGCTGCTGAATCCGGGTTGGGAAAACAAGGATTTAAGAAGAGCCCTGCTGGGTCAGACCAGGGAGGGTCCATCTAGTCCAGCATCCCGTCTCACACAGGGGCCAGCCAGTTCCTCTGGAGGGCCAACAACAGGGCAGAGAGGCCGAGGCCTTCCCCTGAGAAGAACCTCAGAAGAGCCCTGCTGGGTCAGCCCAGGGAGGGTCCATCTAGTCCAGCATCCCGTCTCACACAGGGGCCAGCCAGTTCCTCTGGAGGGCCAACAACAGGGCAGAGAGGCCGAGGCCTTCCCCTGAGAAGAACCTCAGAAGAGCCCTGCTGGGTCAGCCCAGGGAGGGTCCATCTAGTCCAGCATCCCGTCTCACACAGGGGCCAGCCAGTTCCTCTGGAGGGCCAACAACAGGGCAGAGAGGCCGAGGCCTTCCCCTGAGAAGAACCTCAGAAGAGCCCTGCTGGGTCAGCCCAGGGAGGGTCCATCTAGTCCAGCATCCCGTCTCACACAGGGGCCAGCCAGTTCCTCTGGAGGGCCAACAACAGGGCAGAGAGGCCGAGGCCTTCCCCTGAGAAGAACCTCAGAAGAGCCCTGCTGGGTCAGCCCAGGGAGGGTCCATCTAGTCCAGCATCCCGTCTCACACAGGGGCCAGCCAGTTCCTCTGGAGGGCCAACAACAGGGCAGAGAGGCCGAGGCCTTCCCCTGAGAAGAACCTCAGAAGAGCCCTGCTGGGTCAGCCCAGGGAGGGTCCATCTAGTCCAGCATCCCGTCTCACACAGGGGCCAGCCAGTTCCTCTGGAGGGCCAACAACAGGGCAGAGAGGCCGAGGCCTTCCCCCGATGTTGCCTCCTGGCTCTGGGATTTAGAGGTTGACTGCCTCTAGCTGTGGAGGCTCTCCTCAGCCATCATGGCTAATAGCCATTGATAGACCTATCCTCCACGAATCTCTCTAATCCCCTTTTAAAGCTGTCTATCCCTGTGGCCATCACTATACCCTCTGGCAGCGAATTCTGCATTTGAATCACTCTCTGTGATTAGGTTTCTGGAGATTTGGGGAGGGGGTGGAGCCTGGAGCAGGTGGGGTTTGGAGACCGGAGGTGGACTCAGCAGGGTCTGATCCCATAGGGTCCACCCTCCAAAGTGGCCTCTGAACTCCAGAGGGGGTTGATCTCTGAACTCCAGAGATCGGTTGCGATTCTGGGAGATCTCCAGGCCCCGCCGGGAGGTTTTCAACCCTACCTCCTGGTGACCTGACCGGAGGAAGAGTCCTGTGAACTCCGAAGACGTTGCCGAGCGGCTGTGAGCCGGAGAGTCCCGGGAACAGGGGGGTGACCAGCAAGGCTCCCTCTAAGCCGTGGAGTCTCGTGAGCAAAAATTCTACTTTGTGAGCTGCTGGCATTAAGAGTTGTGAGCGAGCCATTTGGCTGCTGCATCAATTAGTTTGCTCTGGAGCCCCATCCTTCCTGAGCTAAGGCAAAAATGTGTGAGCCGGAGGCTAAAAAACTGTGAACTGGCTCACACTAAGTCAGCTTAGAGGGAACACTGCTCTGGAGGCCTCCTTCCTGAGCGAAGGCAAAAATGCACGAGCCGGAGGCTAAAAAACTGTGAGCTAGGTCACACTCACTCAGCTTAGAGGGAACACTGCTCTGGAGGCCTCCTTCCTTAGCGAAGGCAAAAATGCATGAGCCGGAGGCTAAAAAACTGTGAGCTAGCTCACACTCACTCAGCTTAGAGGGAACACTGCTCTGGAGCCCTCCTTCCTGAGCTGAGACAAAAATGTGTGAGCCGGAGGCTAAAAACCTGTGAGCTAGCACACACTCACTCAGCTTAGAGGGAACACTGCTCTGGAGCCCTCCTTCCTGAGCGAAGACAAAAATGCACGAGCCGGAGGCTAAAAACCTGTGAGCTAGCTCACACTCACTCAGCTTAGAGGGAACACTGCTCTGGAGCCCTCCTTCCTGAGCGAAGACAAAAATGCACGAGCCGGAGGCTAAAAACCTGTGAGCTAGCTCACACTCACTCAGCTTAGAGGAAACACTGGTGACCAGTGGCATCGCTTGGCACGGACCGACTCTGCCCCCACAAGGGTGCATCGCAGGCCTCGCCCTGCAAAAGTCCCCCCTCCCCCCGCCTCGCGCCATGGCGTGTTCATGCAGCCGCGGTGCACCTCCGGTTGCCATCTTTGGGTCTGGAAGTTTCTAGAGCCTGGGGAGGGACCCTGCAGGGCACAGCGCCTCGCACTCCACCTCCCCGAGCGGCCGTTTCTTCCGGGGCGACCGATCCCCGTCGCCGGGAGGTCGTTCGCGATTCCGGGAGATCTCCCGGCCCCGCCGGGAGGTTGGCGCCCGCGAGCGGCCGTGCGGGAGCCCGCGGGGCCGCGCAGGTCCTCCTCCCCCCGGCCGCAAGCTCGTCTCCCAAGGTGCCACGACTCCCCGTCCCCTTCCCCCCCTCCCTGCCTGCCTGCGTGCCTCAGTTTCCCCTCCTCCCTCCCTCCCTCCCTCCCGCCGGCCGCCGCTCCCTTTCCTGGCAGGTGCCGCTCTCTCTTGCTCGGTCTCCCCGCCGCTACTTAAGCGGCCGGCCGGCCCGCTGCGCCTCCAGAGCGCCGCCGCTGCCTTTGCGCCACTCGCCCAGCCGGAGGGGGGGCCCGAGCCGAAGCCCGCCAGCAGCCCAGCCCGCCATGAGCTCCATCCTGGACGTCAGCACTCTCTACGAGGTAAGGGCCGGCCCTCCCGCCCGCCTCCCGCCCGCGCCCCCGATCCTGAGGTCTCTTGCGCCGATCCTCGAGGCGCGTTGGAAGGTTCCCCCCCGCCGCGCACAGCGCCAGTGCGCTCCGGAAAGTTGAGCATGATTAAGGTGGTAGGGTGTTGTTGGGGTTTTTTTTTGGGGGGGGGTGTCCTAGCCAGTGTTCCCTCTAAGCTGAGTGAGTGTGAGCTAGCTCACAGTTTTTTAGCCTCTGGCTCACAGATTTTTGTCTTAGCTCCGGAAGGAGGGCTCCAGAGCAGACTAATTCATGCAGCAGCCCAATCGCTCGCTCACAACTTTAATGCCAGGAGCTCACCAAGTAGAATTTTTGCTCACAGGACTCCACAGCTTAGAGGGAGCCTTGGTCCTAGCCCGGCTTCCAAAGGGGACCTTTTGGGTTGTCTTAGGCCGGCGAACTTCGGGGTGGCACAGAGCTCTTGTGCTGACGTTCCAGCGGCTATGGCCGCGCCGACCCCGTCTCCCCCACCCTCCGTTTGCGCTTATGCGCAACCTCGACCTTCCTGTCTGCGAAACTCCAGATGCCTTTTCGAAGGAGGGGCATCCGTGCGCCCCCGTGGCCTCCTTTCTGGCTGACAGCTCACCCACTCACCCATTCTAAACCCACCTTCGGTCCCCAAAGCCTTGGCATCCCTTTTTGTAGGAAGAGTTGTAGAAGCAGTGGCCGGTCTCAGAGCACCCGGAGGCCAAGCAGGTGGCGACAGAACTTCCCTTTGGCCGGGTTCTTTAGTGGCAATGGGCAGGCTTTGGAGTCACACAGAGTCCCGCGTCGCTGACTCCGCTTTCAGCCAGAAGTGGGCTTTTCATTGGACTGGTTTGCCCCTTCCGTGTATCGGTATAATTGGCGTATAGTATTGGGTGTATGTGTGTGTTATGAAACGTCTCCTTGACTTCCTGCGATTTGGTGACTCCAAGCAAAGATGGGTGTTCGGGATTTTAAGTGACATAGATTTATTATCGATGGAAATGTTTGTATCTCCCCCCTTTCCTCTCGGTTCGAGGCAGCTCCCTCCCCAGATTGACTCGGACACCCCCGCGAAAACCAAAGATAAAATTAATTTTAAAAACCACCTCCTTTGAACGGGGCAGATGACGACCTGGCTAAAAATACAGGTCTCTTTGTAATGTCGAGTGGCGGCCCAGTGACATGAACTTTTTGAGCTTCTGGGGGTGGGGGGGGGGAGGGTAGAAGCGTTTCAGGCTGGTGAAATCATGTCGGTTTTCCCAGGAAGGTGAAGCCAAAACAACTTTTGAATCATCTGGCGATTGGGGAGGGTCCGTCCAAAAGTCCAAACACAAGAATGTGGCTCTTTGTGGCTGGGAAAACAAACTGAAATCTTGTTTGGTTGCTTGAACACATCTTCTAGAAGCAAAAGGAAACTTACAAAAAAAAAAAATTGACAGCATTTCCTCCCCCACTGCCTGTTTTCCTGTTCTCTGCAAGCGCAGGGCTCAAGAGAAGACTGGGGGGAAAAAGAACTTTTTATTTTGGTGTTGGGGGGCGGGGAGACAGATGGCTTACTTCCTGGACTTGAACAACTTTACTTCCCCCATTCTGAAAACCATTCCTCTCCTCCCCTTCCCCACCAGGGCTAGCCTTGGGCGCTTTAGATGCTAACCTTTGGGTCTGTATTTCGCAACCCCCGTTTCTTCTACACCCATTCCTGAAAGCCCTGCAATCCGGGACTTGTGCATAGATTCCAATCTCCCAGGAACAGCTGGGGGTTCAAACCCTTGTGTTGGTCTTCCTAGATCAAACCCTTTTAATATCTTGGGAATGTTGAGGCGGGGACAGAAAACCCAGATGTTCAACTGGGTCGATGAGGCTGGAGGTGGCGTGATAAATATATTGTCCGCTGTGTTCCAGAGGAGGAAGAGTGTTCCCTCTAAGCTGAGTCAGTGTGAGCTAGCTCACAGTTTTTGAGCCTCTGGCTCACACATTTTTGTCTTGGCTCAGGAAGGAGGGCTCCAGAGCAAACTAGTTTATCCAGCAGCCAAATCGCTCGCTCACAACTTTAATGCCAGTAGCTCACAAAGTAGAATTTTTGCTCACAAGACCCCACAGCTTAGAGGGAACATAGGTCAGGGCCCCCCGCTGTGAAAAGGTTACGCTCAAAATCGAGAGCCACAGACTTGGAAGGCCAATGTGGCGTCCTGGGTGTGTGGGAAGAAGCAACCAATCAGTCCCTTGGCATTGTCCGAAGACGTAAAATAGTTTAGTTGGTGACATGCCGATACAACAGTTTGCAGCATGTCGCTAGCACCCCCAAATGATAAATGTACGGGTCTGGAGTACAAAAGGAGAGAAACCGCCTCTTCAAAATGTCCTCCCGAATAGTGAGAGAGCGAATCGGGCGGCAGGATAATTCCTTGCTGCCCTGCGTTTTGTTTGTCCGTCGGCCTCATCCGGCCGCCCGACAGGAAATCGGTTTGTATTTGTTTGCAGTGTATTCATTTCAAGCCTCGGCCGCGATATAGGTACGAAATTCTCAAAAACACGATCAGAAGCCACAGTTTTAAAACCCACACAGGTCGCAGCTTTGTCGTCAGCCAGACTTGGTGGCCAAGACGGGCTCTATGTTGGTCTCGGGTCGTAGTTCTTGGGGCCTCTACGGTTTTTTCGAACGACCCAGAATGCACGAGTAGGTAGCTCCCCCACCCCCCAGCTGAGGGCAAGGTGTTTTCGAGGACTTTGAAATAGGGGCCGGCCCCACCACAAACTGTTGCGCAAAGCGCGTGATTCAGAGTTGCACAAGTGTGTAACTATTTAGGCGCCTGGATAGAAGCGGCGGGGGGGGGTGGGGTGGGAGATACTCTGTTTTGGTTCGATCTTGCAAAACGGCTCCCTTGCCTCTAACCGGGAAGACGCTCACGTTCTTCTCAAACTTTTTTTTAGAAGCCTGTCGTGCGGCCTGCTGCAAGTTGAATCTTTCCTTTAAAAAAATAAAAATAAATTCCCCTTCTTAAAATACGCTGCCCCGTCCGTCTGCTTAGCCTGCCCTGCTGCGGTGCGGCTTGTGTCTGTCTCCGTGGCCTAGAAACCCTAATCCTTATTTATATAGAACAGGCCCTTCCTGACAGACAGCTGGGGCGGGGGGAAGGAGGAGGAGAGGTTGGCCGGCCGTGGGTTTATTAAACGCTTGCAAATTATAAGCGCCAGTGGAGGATTTTCTCCAGTCTGCTTCCAGTAAGCCTCTCCCAGTTCATGCCACAGAACCAGTGCTCCCGGATGGCCTCACCCTTCCCCTGAATTATCCTTACTGCCGTTTATCTCACGTCCCCTGGATTCTACTGGGGTCAAAGGTTGCTTGTCTTTCAGTTCTCTGGGAACTGAGAAGTCTCTGGACTTTCGGGGAAGTGGACTGGAGCCGAACAGGGTGCAAACAGCTGTCTTTAAAAGAGGCGATTCAGGGTTCTAGTCCTCATTGGGGGAGGATCAGGTTTTGGTTTTAATAGCGTTGCTGGGCTGTATAGAGAGGCTGTTCTCTCTGCTTCAGGCCCCTAAGAACCAAAGAGGAGCCCTGCTGGATCAGACCAGTGAGGGTCCATCTAGTCCAGCCTCCCGTCTCACACAGAGGCCAGCCAGTTCCTCTGGAGGGCCAACAACAGGGCAGGGAGGCCGAGGCCTTCCCCTGATAAGAACATCAGAAGAGCCCTGCTGGGTCAGACCAGGGAGGGTCCATCCAGTCCAGCATCCTGTCTCACACAGGGGCCAACCAGTTCCTCTGCAGGGCCAGCAACAGGGCAGGGAGGCCGAGGCCTTCCCCCGATGTTGCCTCCTGGCTCTGGGATACAGAGGCTCTGAATGTGGAGTCACCACATAAGACTTTTCCTTCTCGGCTCTCCCTGTTTCACACAGTCGTTGGTCTTTCGGGGTTTCCCCTCAGACTTCGGCCGCGTCACAGGAAAGCCAGTTCCTGCCCTGAGCCACGGAAGGGATCGGATTCCTTTTCTAACATGGGCCGAGGGAGTTCTTCCTCTGTGGAATTCTTCCTTTCAAACACGTTTGAGTCTTCCCTCCCCCCCACACACATCTTCTTTTTCTAACTTGCCTTAAAAACTGAAGACTTCTGCCAAAGAGACATTGATCTCGTTATTTGCATAGCCTTTGGATAAAACCTTGGGGCAGAGCTGGAAGGAGCCCCTGAGGGTCATCTAGTCCAACCCTCCCTGACAATGCGGGAAATTCACAGATGGCTCCCCCGAGTTGTTTCTTGTGCTGTGCTCAGAGGAAGGCCAAAAAAAAAAAACCTCTCCAAGATCGCTGGGTCAATCTGACCTGGAAGAAAATTACTTCCTGATCCCAAAGCGGCAATCGTAATTACCCTGGGCATGTAAGAAAGGGCGACAAGAGCTGGGCACTGGCTCACACCCCTTCCTGCCGTCCTTCTCACGATCGGCCGAAATTCAGGCGTCAGGTCTTTAAAATACCAGTGCCGGGGCTTGCACGGTCTCGTGGGCTGGGGCAGGGAGGCTGTCCGGCCATCGCCAGGTCCCTCACTTGCAAATAAGCCTTATGAATTCTGGAGCAGGGCACAGTTTCTGTGGGCACACGCCCTGGCAGTCCAGGAAATGGGGGGGCGTGTGCGTTTGCGTGTGGCCAGTTAATCTCTTCATTCCTTTCCTGTGTTCACACCTCTCTGTACGGCAGGATGTTTGTGCAAGATGGAGGGGGGAACTGCATCTGTCCTTGCTCGGTTAAAAAACAAAAAACGCTCAAGCCCCTTGGCACTGCCATATTTGAAACATCAGACGACCTTTTAAAACGATGGGCTGTCCTTGGGGGGGGGGGGGTTGTATGGAACCCCTGGATCTGTGGCTGAGACTTCCCAGGGTGGGACCAAGGCGGAAAGAGCTCGATTTGCAGAAGAAACAAATGAAACCCCCGGCAATAAAGCAGTGCCATTCTAACTGGAGTTATGCCCTCCTAAGATAGGGGTGCCAGCCTCCAGGTGAGACCTGGGGATCCCCTGGAAATACAGCGCATCTCCAGTAGCGCCTTGTTACCGTCTGACTCTCCGCGACCCCACGGACCACCTCATACCAGGCCCTCCTGTCTTCCGTCGTGCTCCGGAGTTTGCTCAATTTCATGTTCGCCGCATCGATCACACTATCGAGCCATCTCACCCTTTGCCGTCCCCTTCTTCTTTTCCCTTCAGTCTTTCCCAGCATCAGGGTCTTCCTCTCCAGTGAGGGCTCCCTTCTCACTTGGTGGCCAAAGTCTTTGAGCTTCAGCTTTGGTCTCTGGCCTTCCAGGGAACAGTCAGGGTCGATTTCCTTTAGGATTGACTGATTTGATCTCCTTGCAGTCCAAGGGACTCTCAAGAGTCTTCTCCAGCACCATAACTCAAAAGAATGTATTCTTCGGCGCTCGGCCTTCCTTATAGTCCAACTCTCAACAGTAGCACCTTAGTAACGAAATTTGCGGCAGGCTAGGAGGTCCTCTGCTGCTACAGACAGACGTAACGTGGCTACCCGTCTTGATCTAGTTCATCTCCAGATGACAGAGAACCGCTCCCCTGGAGAAAATGACTGCTTTGGAGGGTGGGCTCTGTGGCACTGCCCCCCAGTGAGGTCCCTGTCCTCCCCGGGCTCCATCCCCAAATCTCCAGGAGTTCCCCAACCAATTGCTTCCTCTAAGCTGTGGCGTCGTGTGAGCAAAAATTCTACTTTGTGAGCGGCTGGCGTTCAAGTTGTGAGCAAGCGATTGGGCTACGGCATAAACCCGTTTGCTCCGGAGCCCTCCTTCCCGAGCTAAGGCAAGAATGCGTGAGCTGGAGGCTAAAAAACAGTGAGCTAGTTCACACTCACTCGGCTTAGAGGGAACACTGTTCCCAACCTAGATCTGGCAACTTTGCCCCACCGGTGGCCGGGGGGGGGCCTGGTAACCCGAAGACGACTGAAGTCAGTGGGGGTAGAAGTGGGTAAGTTAGGGTGGTACTGGAAGCTACCTGTTTTGACGTCCCCAAATCTCTGGGCCGATGCTTTCTCCCTTGGCTTTATTTTCACGTTTCTGGTCGTCAAGGTTCTTAAGGCACAGTTGGGCGGCTGGAGTCTTGGGCCAGGGCTGGGGAGAATCCGGCGCAGCGCCCGCTCGCCGCGAAACTTCCTCCTGGGGGCGGTCGTTATCTTCCCGTCTGATCTACCTCGCAGAGTTGTCGGGTGAGGAGGCAGTGGAGGAGGGGAGAATCGAGCCTGGCACCCTGCCCCCTCTGTCTCCCCGTTCCTCTTCCTGGATCAAGCCCCTTCTTTTGTTAGCCTCCCCTAGTTTTCTATGGAGCCCTCCTTCCTGAGCGAAAGCAAAAATGTGTGAGCCGGAGGCTAAAAAAACTGTGAGCTGGCTCACACTCGCTCAGCTTAGAGGGGACGCTGGTCCCCAACCTTCCTTTGGTCTCCTTTACCGATATGTTCTGGGGTGGAGACCTTGGTCTTTGTGACTCGGTACTGTACCCTGCTCGGCGCGGCTTGGGAAAGAGAGAAACCGAGGCAGCCTTCCATCTGGGAAGACCGGGCCGTGTCTCTCCTGAATCCTACCCTGTTCATTCTTAATTTTGTGAAATAAGAAGTCGCCCAGGTGGGCCGTCCGGCGTCAAAGACTGCGAGCGGGCCGTAATTGGGTTTATTCATTGCTCATGGTGGATTTTCTGTGTGTGATGAAATATAAGCAGTCAGTTTGTGTGTCTAAGTGATCAAACCATGTCAGGGGGCGGGTGGGAATACTGAATTATTATTGACCCCCGTAAAGTTTACGAGTAGGCTGGGAAGTTCCCAGTGGGAACGAATAGGAATGATTCCCAAGAGCCCATTCCCACGAGAGACACGTATAAAATATTTATCGGCGGATTGTGCCTCCGAATCCATGACTGTCAGGGCAGCGAGGAAACCTGTATCAAAATAGCTGCGTTGGAGAAGCAAAAGGGGTGGGCGTTACGGGTGCCGAACCACCATGCCCCCCCAGTTCCCCCCCCCCCCCGCCCCTCGCACCAGCTTCTGACTCTGCTGTCGCATAGCAGCTGTTTGTCTCTGGCGCAACCCCAATTTGGTTTAAAAATAGCTCCGGCCCAACCTACCGAGAGCGTCTCGAACAACCTGACGTCACCCCCTCGGCTGGGTAGTAACGCCTGGCTTGTTTTTGGAGTCTCTCGGTTTCCTCCTTCGTTTCCCACCGACTCTAAAACCTGACCCACAAGATCAAAACATCTACAGAGAAAAGAAGAGGGGGAGAATTATGTTCCCCCGAAGAGGCAGAAACCGGGTTGTCGGGAAGGTCTACGGTGGCCCCTATAACCCCGGACGTGCCCAGATGTTTTTTGGGAGAACCTTGGGCACGCTGGTTCACACGTGCAAACTCTGTGGCTTGTGTGTGTTTGTGTGTGTGCGAGTGGGCGCTCTCAGACCGGGTGGGACTCCTGTAGCTCTGCTTCAAATGAGGTGGGCTTCCATGGTGTTCGGTAGCACACATTCGAGTCCTGATTCACATACAGTTGGCAATGGTCTGCCCGAGGATGGACCCCCCACACACACCATCTTTTTAGCCTCTTTTTTGTGGGGTTTGGTCCTGCCTGGATGTGGCTTGAGAGTGCTGTGTGACTCCTGTACTTGCGGGTGGAGAAACGGAGGTTGCGTGACGGTGCCTGAAGCTGGAAATCTCTCTTCGGATTTATCGGGTTGCTAGCTGTGGGTTTGGGGGATTGCTGGGGATTTGTGGGTGGAACCCTGGGGAAGGTTGGGTTTAGGGAGGGAAGGGGTCCTCCGAGGGCGATAATGCCGCAGAGTCCACCCTCCCCAGCAGCCAGGGGAATTTTTCTCCAGGGGAACTGATCTCTAGTCTGGGGATTAGCTGTAATTCTGGGAGATCTCCAGGCCTCGCCTGGAGGCTGGCCACTCTACTTAATAAGGGAGCAGCGGCAGGGGTCATTTTCTGCAGGAGCGCACAGGAGTGGCGTTCTGGCAGTAAAGAGCCCAGGGGGCGGGCACATGCAACAAGCCCCACCCCCTGCTCCCAGCAGCCCTCAGTCAGAGCAAGAAACAGCCAGGTAAGCTACAGAGCCCCCCCCCCCGACCTGCCTTCAGGTACAAACTCTTCCTTCTCTGTGAGGACAGATCTGCACATCCCCCCTCCCCAATAGCTAGCAATCCAAAACAGTCCAGTGGCGCCTGAGCGGTGGGGTCCAAACCAGTCCAGTGGAGCCTGAGCGGTGGGTGTTGCCTTCTGACACACTTCTGGTGAGGTCAGGGGGTGTGGCACATGCAAATGAGTTATGCTAATGAGCTCCTGCACCTCTTTTTCTACAAAATGACCCCCGAGCAGCAATCGAGGCCAGCCAGCCGGCAGCCATCTTCTTGACTTCCTCCTGGGTTTTCCGTGCTCCACTGTCGGTGACCCTTTTTTAGGAATAGGTTTCAAGGGCAAAATGTTTTCCATAAATAAATAAATAGAGGACAGGGGTTGGGGTGGGGGAAGGAAGGGTGTACCCCTCGCCATTTCCCTACGGGGCAGTCGTCTTGGTAGGGTGCCGAGATTTCTCCCTTCCGGTTCCCCATTTGTGTCCGGGGGTGGACGAGGGGGGAACAACTCGTATGGGTTTTTTCACACCTTGTGGCTAACCCCTCATTATCCTTCTTCTTCCCCCCAGAACCTGTACAACCTGTCGCTGAGCGAAGAGCACGATGCACCTGGATCTCACCTCTCCCGGCGCCACTCGGCCTGCTCCTCCGACACACCCTACAGCAGCGGGGATGCTTCCTTGCTCTGGCCCCTGCGCAGTCACTGGAGCCCCAGCGCCGAGCAGCTGCGCCCCATGGCCGAGGATTCCCGGCGCCCCCCTCTGCGTCCCGACCGCTCGGTCAGCCTCATCGAGGGCAAGGCCCTGCCGCCGCCGCCGCCGGGCTTCCCGCCCCTCAAACCGAGCGCCCAGGCCCCGGCCCTCTCCTCGCGCTACAAGACGGAGCTGTGCCGCACCTTCAGTGAGACGGGCAAGTGCAAGTACGGGGCCAAGTGCCAGTTTGCCCACGGCCCCGCCGAGCTGCGCGCCCTGAGCCGCCACCCCAAGTACAAGACGGTGCTGTGCCACAAGTTCTTCCAGCACGGGGACTGCCCCTACGGGTCGCGCTGCCACTTCATCCACTACGCCGAGGAGGCCCGCTTCCACTCGGCCGGCTCCTCGCCGCAGCTCTTGCGCCAGAGCGTCAGCTATTCCGAGGGGCCGGCTGCCCGCCGGACCTCCCCTCTCCCCAGCTTTCCCGATCCTGCCTCCTTCGCCAGGGCCCCGTCCGCCTCGCCGCCGCCCGACCTCCTTTCGCCGACTTTCGGCCGCCTGAACTCAGAGCCCGTCCCTCGCAATTCCACCCTGGGCGAGACCACGTCCGGCTCCAGACTGTGCTTATCTTGCCGATGTGGACAATCCTCCGCCTTGGTCAGCCCATTCTACTTCTCTGCTGCCCCCGGGACCCCGGTCTCCTCTGCTCTGCCTCGAACCCCCTCCGACAGCTCCCTCTCCGACTTGGAGAGCTCCAGCAGCTCTGACTCGCCTGTCTTCGATGTGCCCACCCACGGCGGGACCGGGGGGAGCACCCACAGGCTGCCCATCTTCAACCGGCTTTCTGTCTCGGACTGAGCCGCGTGGACTCGGAACAGCACTGCCGTTGCCACGAGGGGAGCAATTTGTCAATCGATGTCTGTCTGTAAGACTTTCCCACAATGTCGGAAGGGGGCTAGACCTATCCACCGGCCCACTGACTGCCTCTTCCAAGCAGGGGCAACCTGTAAAGTCTCATCCTGATGTGCGAATGAGCCCGACGGGGCAGAAGACTCCTCCCTCGTGTGACTTCCCCGCACCTCGTTTCTGCCTTATACCATCCGACAGTGCCTGCAAGGGTTGCTTTTCAAGAACCCAAATCGGTCTTGGTCTGTTATCGGTGCCCCTCCGCCACAATGCACTTGAAGGGGGCCCTACAGTTAAGGGGGGGGAGAGTTTGTGCGGTTGGCGGGGAGATCGGTAGAGTGACCGAGGGGAGCCTTTACACTGGGGTGGTGACCCAAGACTCTCCGTGCTTTCTCGTGTAGATCGTAGCCATGTTAGTCTGCGGTAGAAGAGCCAGATTTGGGTTCAGTAGCACCTTAGAGACCAACAGCATTTTTGAAATAGGAGCTTTCAAGAACCAGCGCTCCCTTCGTCAGCATCTCACGTGAATTCCCCTCTACCCCAAACACTGCTAGACGTGAGCTCCCCGCCTCCTTTTCCCTCCGTCAGGGCAGTATCTGGGAACGGAGAAAGCAGATCAGATAGTTTCTTGTTCTCTTCAGTGATCAGCTGGAAGCGAGAGGACTGCAGGCAGATTACCTTCTCTCTTTCGCAAACGGATGGAGACGGAGAAGGAAAAACCAGGGGCGGGGGGGGGAGAGACATGGAGAGAAAGGGGTTGGGGGTTCGGTAGCCATTGTCACTTTATAAGGTGGGTGTGGCCTGCGGCTTGCTCTGGGCTTTCTTGCCTTACGTCACGTAACCCAGCGGTGAAAAAATAAAATAAAATAAAAAGCTGTGCCTTGTTATCAAGAGTGCCATTTTAGGCTCTTGCTGGGCAGGGGAGACCAAGCGGAGGGGGGAATCGAGATGCCAGCAAGGCTGAACAATCTGGCCCTCCATCTCACTCCTCCCCGTAAGCCTTGAGTTGAGACGCAGCCAGTAGGGTTAGCACCCAGCCCAGTTCCTTTCCTCGAGACAAGCCTGCCAGTATTAGAAACACCCACTGCTTCCTGGGACTACTGTACCAGAGGAGTGTAAGGTGCAATGCCTCCATCTGTCCCCCCCCCTCCCCACCAAAGTCTTTAGTCACATCTGGGAAGGGGGCAGATCTGTTGCCTCTTTTTTGGGGGGGAGAGGGGGCATTCAGTGCCTGAACATTCTCCACCAACCTGTCCTTAGTTGCATATAAGTCCAAGGGTGGAAAATGGACAGTTCATGTAGCAGAGGAATCTTTCTGGTTGGGTAGGGAACACGAAATACAGGCTTAAGTGTGAGAGACAACTCCAGAAGAGCCATCTTGGGGGCTTGATGTCTGTTGTTTGTTTTAAATGGAGGGGGGGACATTAAATAAAACAATCTCGTTTCTTGACTAAATACTGTGAAATACCCCCAGGTAACAAAGAGGTCGAGCATTTTGGAGTGTGGGCAGCGGGAACGGGCGCGTGCACACTACCCTTTAAATGACCTCTTGACTTTTCTAAAAGGGTAGTTTTAATTTCTCCCTTAAAACCAGATTGATTGGCGCCGTAGCACCTTCGATCGTTATCCTACGAAACGACGCCTGTGATTTTTTAAAAAAATCCGTTCAGTCTGCAATCTCGCCCAGCCTCCTCCACTGGAAAATCCACTCTCTGTCCGTCGCTCCTCTGCTATCCTCGGTTTCCCGTGTGGAGTCGCTTTAAGTAGACCCACGGGGAGGCTCAGGAAGTTGACTCTGAAACTCTCCAGGTGGAGAATCAAGACAATCTCGGCCCGAACCAACAGGAAGTCCCTGGCGGACTTCGCCAGGAGAAGGTGCTCTTAGGGTAGACCCTGGCAGAGGTTGTGTGTGTCTTGTCATCAACCACTCAGCGTCCGAGGACTGGCTCCTCCCTTTGTTTATCCCCGGACTTATTCAGCGGGATCAGTTATCTCTAGGTTATTATAGCAGACTCGGGTTAGTTTACACCGTAGAGGGACGTCCGCAGACAGAGCCCCTACAGAGTGAGGGGCTATCTACACAATGGCGAAGTAAAATCGCGATGCCACGATTCCACGGGCATGAAGACGTAGCGGGATCTGCAGTCTTTTTAGCGAGGGATGTTGATTCTGGGTAGTTGTAGATTCCTAATCCAGAGACCAAATTGCAAGGGGGGGGAACCCCCAACAAAACTCTCTCCCCGTTATTTGCTGAAATCAACTGAAGTCTGCTGGGATCAATGAAACCGTTATGGGGTGGGGTGGGGAATCGTTTCCCTTTTCTGAATCGACATTCATGCTAACCGCCCGCATTTAACTGTCGTGTTGTGTTGATTGTTGTTGCGTGCGTGTTTTTCAGAGAGGCCCTCGACGTTTACCTTGTAACGATGCAAACCAAAAAAGAAAAGAAAAGCAGAAAACTATTTATAGACTCTTATTTATTCAAGACAGAATTTTATATGATATTTATCTTTTTTTTGTAATATTCCAAAATAATATATAATTATATATATATATATATTTTCTCGTGTTGGAAAAAATTGCAAAAAGACCCAAACAAACCTGTGCTAAAATTGTTTTTTTAAGAAGTTTGCTATTTTCTTTGTTATAGTATTTCTGTTCTGAATCTCAGAAAAAAAAAAAGAATCCTATTAATGGAGCAACCGATAATTATATTGCATAATAAAGAAATGTCAGAGATCAGAAAGCGGAGTTCTAGTCGGTGATTCGTTTTTCTCTTCTGTTCACCGTTGCAATATGACACCCTCCCACGACGGTACACTGGAGAGGGATAAATTCAACTATTTCTGTCGTACATGAAATTTTAAAACTTCGGGGTTTTCTTAGCCTGCTTTGTTCTCACAGCTGCCAACCTTAGAGAGGTTAGACTGAGGACAGAATTCAGACTACGTGACCTATTCTCGTGGCTGATCAGGGTTTTGACCCTGGGGGAGGAGAGCGGGGATACCAAACAAATATCTACTTTTACGGTAAAAAAATTAGATAAATGGTGTACACAATCTCTCTTAGGGTTTATACAGGGCTCTCCAAATGCTTCAACCGCACGGTCTCCTTGTCCTCTTTACGACGTCCAGGGGTCATTTCTTGCGGGAGCGCACAGGAGCAGAGCTCCGGCAGTAAAGAGCCCAGGGGGTGGGCACATGCAGCAAGCCCCGCCCCCTGCTCCCAGCAGCCCTCAGTCAGAGCAAGAAGCAGCCAGGTAAGTTGCAGAGCTGCCCCCCCGGTCCAAAACAGTCCAGTGGCACCTTTAAGACCAAGTTTTATTCAGGTACAAGCTCTCCCTCCTCTACGAGGACAGATCTGCACATTCCCCCAATAGCTAGCAATCCAAAACAGTCCAGTGGAGCCTGAGCGGTGGGTGTTGCCTTCTGACACACTTCCGGTGAGGTCAGGGGGTGTGGCATCTGCAAATGAGTTATGCTAATGAGCTCCTGCACCTCTTTCTACGAAATGACCCCTGACGACGTCCTTATAAGGTAGGCCAGTACAGTGATTTCCCCCCCCCAGACTGTAGTGGACATCTAAGGCTGAGAGAGCTCACCCAAGACACCCCATCCATACTTGCCAGGCCACTTTACGGAACTCCCCAAAAGAGGAACCCGTTCTCGCTTTCATGTGATACTTGGTTCCTTCTTTTTTGGTTGCATGTCTTTCAAAGGTCGGAGGAAACACACATCTCAGAAGTTCCCTTCAGAGACGAACCGCATGCGGGCGGTGTGGGGGGGGCGGTTCTTTCCCAGGGTCAAGACCGAACGCAACGCGTAGTTTGGGAAAAACTTGTGTGGGGAGGGCCTGTGGCTCAGTGGCAGAGCACCTGCCTGGCATGCAGAAGGTCCCAGGTTCGATCCCCGGCATCCCCCGTTAAAAGGATTTGGCAGGAGGGGATGGGAAAGACCTCTACTTTGTGAGCTGCTGGCATTAAAGTAGTTTGCTCTGGAGCCCTCCTTCCTGAGCAAAGACAAAAATGTGTGAGCCGGAGGCTAAAAAATTGTGAGCTGGCTCACACTAACTCAGCTTAGAGAACATAAGAGAGGCCAATGTTGGATCAGGCCAATGGCCCATCCAGTCCATTACTCTGTCACACAGTGGCCAAAAATACCAGGTGCCATCAGGAGGTCCGGCAGTGGGGCCAGGACACTAGGAGCCCTCCCATTGTTGCCCCCCCTCCCCCAAGCACCAAGAAGACAGAGCATCCCTTGCCCCAGACCGAGACTTCCTATCTATACCTTGTGGCTAATAGCCACTGATGGACCTCTGCTCCATATGCTTATCTAATCCCCTCTTGAAGCCGTCCATGCTTGTAGCCGCCACCACTTCCTGTGGCAGTGAGTTCCATGTGTGAATCACTCTTTGGGTGAAGAAGGACTTCCTTTTATCTGTTCTAACCCGACTGCGCAGCAATTTCATGGGGTGCCCGCGAGTTCTTGTATTGTGAGAAAGGGAGAAAAGGACTTCTTTCTCGACCTGCTCTATCCCAGGCATAATCTTTATAAACCTCGATCATGTCACCCCTCAGCTGTCGTTTCTCCAAGCTAAAGAGCCCCAAGCGCTTTAACCTTTGTTCACAGGGAAAGTGTTCCAACCCTTTTATCGTTCTAGTTGCCTTTTTCTGCGCAGAGGGAACGCTGGTGATAACCTGGAGAGATATCTGGGGTCTCCGTACAACTGGTGTTTGCACAAGCATCTTTGCATAACAGGGAGGCGGAATTCCCGGCCTGCGTCTCGCTGTCCTTTGGAGCCGTCAGAGAGCACCTTGTGCTGTGGAACTGGGACCTGCGTCATGCTGATGAGGCACAGGGCGCGGCCCAAACACATTCCACCAGCCTCTGGCACCTGTACAGAGAACGCCCGTTTAATCACCCCGACCCTACCCAGACTGGAAGAACCCGCTGGGCGGATTGCCAGTCTCTCCGGCTCAACGCTGCCTTTGGTAAACAGCTCTGTCTTGGGTGCAAAAGCCACTCCTCTGGAGACACAAAGGGAAGGCTCCGACTGAGAACTTTTGAAGTTCTTGGCTTTGTGCGGTCATGCGACAAGTTTCAGCCTGGAGGACTCTAGCTCTGTGGAATGCTAGAGACTCTCTTAACATGGAATCTCAAAGACCCATTTCCTACAAATGATCCCCAAGAATGGATCTGACATTCGAGACCACATAATTCAAAAACCGGGGGTGGGGGAATGTTTTAACCTTCCAGGACATTCTGTTGCTGACCTAAGAGTAGCAGTTTTCTTACAAAGGGATTCCAAAGGGAGATTAGAAAGAGAGACTGCTGAATTGGAACTGATCATGAAGCTCAAGAGAATGCAAACTCCTGGACTGAATTGAGACCTAGGTTTCCTGTCTCATTACCAATGCTGACTTCTACTTACTACTCCTCTGCATATCACACCTAATCCAACCACGCCTGTTATTGTCATTCATTTGCTATTGTCGTTTGCCTGCCAATGTCATTTGGCATCTGAGATCACTCCACTTTCCAAGATATAGGACAGATGGACTCACATCCTAGGTGTATCTGACAAAGTGAGCGGTGACTCACGACAACTCATCCTCTGCCACAAATTTTGTTAGTCGTTAAGGTGCTACCGGACGCTTGCTCTTTTCTTCAAGAGAGGTTTGGGATGAACTCACAAAATGTTCTGGTCCCCAAAGTTCTTTTTTTTAAAATGATTTTTAAAGCCTCCTTTCCACCCCCATCAGTCGAGTTGCCAACCTCCAGGCAGCACCCAGAGATCTCCTGTTATTACAATTTATCTTCAGGTGCCCAAGGTCAGTTCCCCTGTACAAAATGGCTGCTTTGGAGGGTGGACTCTATGGCATTATACAGGGGTCATTTTGTAGAAAAAGAGGTGCAGGAGCTCATTAGCATAACCCATTAGCATAACTTATTTGCATATGCCACACCCCCTGGCATCACCAGAAGTGTGCCAGAAGGCAACACCCAACGCTCAGGCTCCACTGGACTGTTTTGGATTGCTAGCTATTGGGGAGGGGGTGCAGATCTGCCCTCACAGAGGAGGGAGAGCTTGTACCTGAATAAAACTTGGTCTTAAAGAAGAAGAGAAGAAGAGATTGGATTTATACCACTGGACTGTTTTGGACCGGGGGGGCCAGGAGGAGCTCTGCAACTTACTTGGCTGCTTCTTGCTCTGACTGAGGGCTGCTGGGAGCAGGGGGCGGGGCTTGTTGCATGTGCCCTCCCCCTGGGCTCTTTACTGCCGGAGCTCCGCTCCTGTGCGCTCCGGCAGGAAATGACTCCTGGATCTATACCCTGCCCTATCTATGCTCCACCCCAAAATCTCCAGGTATTTCCCAACCCATAGCTGGCCACCAATACTCCCTCTAAGCTGTGGAGTCTAGTGAGCAAAAATTCTACTTTGTGAGGTACTGGCAGGAGCCAGTTTGGTGTAGTGGTTAAGTGTGCGGACTCTAATCTGGGAGAAACGGGTTTGATTCCCCACTCCTCCACTTGCACCTGGCTGGATGACCTTGGGCAAGCCAAAGTTCTCTCAGAGCTGTTCTTGAAAAAAAGCAGTTCTGTCAAGTGTGACCTTGGGTCAGTCACAAGTTCTCTCATGAGCTGTTCACTCAAGGGCAGTTCTTGAGAGAGCTCTCTCGGCCCCACCTACCTCACGGGGTGTCTGTTGTGGGGAGGGGAAGGGAAAGGAGTTTGTAAGCCGCTCTGAGACACCTTTGGGTAGTGAAGTGCGGGGTATAAATCCAATCTCTTCTTCTTCTTAAAGTTGTGAGCAGGAGATTTGGCTGCTACATGAATTAGTTTGTTCTGGAGCCTGAGCGGAGACAACAATGTGTGAGCTGGAGGCTGGAAAAACTGTCAGCTAGCTCACGCTAACTCAGCTTAGAGGGAACACCGCTGGCCACCCTACCTAGCAAGGTCTCCAAGGCGGTGCCCATAAAAACATTAAATCATTTGAACCACTAAAAAAGACATTGAATTATAAAACAAACACAAAACTTCTCCAACAGAAGCGATGGCAGTTATACCCGTTTCAGACCAGTTTCAGCGACAGGTACCTCTGTTTCCTTCAAAGCAAATGGTGTGGTGTTTAGAAGAAAAAGCTAGAATCCTGCTGTTTTTGCCAATGACTTCTCCTCTACCTTACAAACCGGGTCAAATCTATCCTGGTCCCATCCTTTGGAGGAGTTTCCCAGCAAGGCTCCCTCTAAGCTGTGGAGTCTTGTGAGCAAACATCCTCCTTTGTGAGCTACTGGCATTAAAGTTGGGCTGCTGCAGAAATTTGTTTGCTCCGGAGCTGTCCTTCCCGAGCTGAGACAAAAATGTGCGAGCCGGAGGCTAAAAAAACCGTCAGCTAGCTCACGCTAACTCAGCTTAGAGGGAACACTGGTTCCCAGAGACATTCTAGTCTTACACTGATTTTTGTTTTTTTAACGACTTACTTTTTAAATTTACATTCGATTTGCAGCAGGTTGCAGTAGCAAAAAAGAGTAAGGGTCCGGGAGCACCTTCAACACGAACAAAATCTGTGGCAGGGGA